ACGGAAACACCATTTTTACAAAGGTGTGAAGAGTTAATCTAGCTGTGTTTGCTTTTGCAAGAGAACTACAATGTTTTGATTATTGGGTGACAGGTTTTCTTATTTGTGTGAAGAGTTTTGCAAAATTAGCCAATAGTTACAAAAAATGTGCTTAAGCAATCAGAAAAAAAACTGTAACAGTTTTGAAAACAGTATGTAAGCACATGCAAAATGTCCTGTACATACAAAGATTTTTGGCAGTTGTTGTGTCTGAGTGAGAAAATAATTCATGAAATTTGAGAGATGTAGTCATTGAATGCATTTTGTGCCAAAACACTGATAACTGATCCTCAGTTTAGCCCACATAGACTTCTGTTGTGCTCACTGTGTGAGGAGTTTTGCAAACGTGACCTAAGTATTGAGAAATGTGTCCTAGTGTCTGTAAAAAACTGTAATGATAGCCATATATGTGTATACTTTTGCTAGGAGTGTGTTGGAAATTTGGTAATTGAGTGTTGTGCAGTGAATTGTGCCTACAGTTTTGCAAAGTGTGTGTTACAAAATTGCAAACTGAGTGCAAAGCAGTTTTGTGCTTTTAGTTTTGCAAACTCAGTGAGTGGTTTTGCTATAAGTCTGAATAGTTTTAGAGATTGTGCTACAGGAATCACAGTTAGCATTCAGAAAAACTGTAAATCTAAAAATGCAGTTTAACCAGCCACAGCTGATTCTCATTGTAGATGAACATCTACACAGGTGTTACTCCTTCAATTTCATTACAAAAGGAGACAAGTGCTGAATAGGTTTGTTTTGTGATGTGAACATGGACCCAGCCAGAAATGGAGAAGTGGCTGAAAGATGAAGAAGAGTGGCTGGGAGGGGGCGAGGAATACGTATGCGTGGTGGAAGAAGAATAAGAGGAAGATCAAGAGCTGTAGTCTCAGATGAGATCAGAGCTACTGTAATTGATCATGTAGTAAATCATGGTCACTCAATGAGAGAGGCTGGTCAGAGAGTGCAGCCAAATCTGCAACGCTCTACAGTGGCATCTATTGTTAGAGTTTTTCGGCAAACCAACAGGTAACTTGTATTCTGCAAGGGCATTTGCACATTTCAGAAGTAAATAAGTTTTTGTGTAATTGTTGTTGCATTTCTGCTTAGGACTCAACGGTTACCTCACACAGGAGGGAGAGGATGGATGTTCACTGATGTGCAGGAAACTGCCATTGTTGATATGGTCATCAGAAACAATGGGATAAAACTCACTGAAATTAGACACAGAGTCTTGGCAGACAACGTTACTTTCGCAAATATTCACAGTGTAAGCATAACAACAATTTCTAGTGTCCTGAAAAACATCAGGTCAGGATGAAACAGTTGCACACTGTGCCTTTTGAGAGGAACTCTGAACATGTCAAGCAACTCAGGAACCAGTATGTCCAGGTAAGATCACAATAAAATACAGATCTGTTTTTGAACAAAACCAAACACACAAAGACAATTTTTACAAATTTACTACTGTAACAGCTTATGTTGCCTTGTGGATTTATGTTAGAGAGTCATGGAGATTGAAGGCAGGCAAACACACCACATTTTCATCTTTGAGGATGAGGCAGGTTTCAACTTGGCCAAAGCACGGCGACGAGGGAGGAATGTGATTGGGAAGAGCGCCACAGTGAACATCCCGGGCCAGAGGGGTGCCAACATCACAATGTGCGCAGCAACATCCACTGATGGACTGCTGCTACACAGACCACTGATTGGGCCATACAACACTGAACGGCTCCTTGCGTTCCTGCATGACCTCTATGGAAGGGTTGTGCTAGGTGAGGAAAGGGATGCGGAGAGAAGGAATCAGCCAACATTTATAATTGTATGGGACAATGTGGCATTTCATCACTCCCGTGCAGTCACCGAGTGGTTTGCAGCCCATCCCAGAATGGAGTCTCTTTTCCTCCCACCTTACTCTCCATTCCTCAACCCCATAGAGGAATTCTTTTCCTCATGGCGGTGGAAGGTTTACGACCATCATCCACATGATCAGATGTCCCTCCTGGATGCAATGGATGCTGGATGCCTGGAGATATCAGCAGAAGATTGCCAGGGATGGATCAGGCATGCCAGAAGATTCTTTCCTAGGTGTATTGCCCTAGATGACATAAGATGTGATGTGGATGAGAACCTGTGGCCAAATAGAGAAGACAGAGTAGAATAGCATTACTATTGTATGTGTATCAGTGGATGGTGTGTATACAAATTCTTGTATTTTGGGATTACTTAGTGCAGAAAAATAAAAATACATAAACAAATATTAACGAATTCTGCATGATGTCTGATTCATTCCAGTAACATATATTGAAATTATAAACAGAGATGTGTCCTTGTTTTACACAAGAAAACACTGTGTAATGCTACATGTTGTTAGTGTTTTTTAGGTCATTGTTTTGTGGGTGACAAAGTGTGTTTGTCGGCTGTCAACCTTTGCTAGTGTTCTGGAAGAATGAGTTTATTTGAGACCTGAATGAAGTGTTTTGGTAGTTGTAGTGCATTTTGAAGGTGAAATGAACTGCTTTGCCAAGCTGAAGGTCAGTGAGGAGAAGAGTTTTGCAAAAGTGACCTAAGTATTGAGAAATGTGTCCTAGCGGCTATAAAAATAAAATAAATAAAAAAAAACTGTAATACAAAGGATTGGAGTCTGTTTTGGATTTTCACTTGTTGTTGGCTTTAATATGAACAGTCACATAAAATTCATTCAAATTTTTTTTGCCTTTGCTTCAATTAAGAAGTTTCTTTAAATCTACAACAGCTTCCTTTTCAAAAAGTTTACTGACATAGTAAGGTAGTAGCAAGGGAACTCAGTAAGTATGAGCAACAGTAGCTTAGGGACACTTTCTCCAATAAAGAGGATTTCATCATCTGCAGTTCGTAAAAAGTGCCGTATTAAAAACAATTCAGCAGACCCTCAGAGTGCGGATACAAACTGTTTTCAGCTGTAGAGGTAGAGGTACGCTTCATGTACTTATCAACATACAGTTCAGAGGCTTGCATTAGAGAGCATTGGTGCTTGGGCATTGTCAGAGATTTACAGTTAACAGTCAGGTGAATAAACAACAATGAGACACTTGTGTAGGTTAACGTGCTGCACGGGTGAAAAGCTCAGAGCAAATCACACCGAACTGCAGTATTCGTTTATTTTTATAGGTTACATCGTCAATATGCAAATATAATCACATTTCCTGTCACGCAGGTCCTGATGTCTGTCTGCATGCAAGCTGTGTGTGTGTGTGTGTGTGTCACAGAGTATGTGTGTTGCAGGTCAATTTCTAAGAATAATATAATGCAAGTCAACTTCTGCGGATATGTATTTCTGTACTGATCTCTTGTCAGTGTCACAGGGTCAGCTTCCTGTTTTAACAGAAAACTGTGTCTGGTGAAATATGTATAACATAACTTTTGAAGCATAAGCAAATAAAACAATAAAAACTCCCTGACATTCCCTCCTGTTGTTACCGTATTTCACCACTTCAATCATACTTTATTATTCAGCCAACAATCACTTGCTTTCAACACTTTCAATTGTAGCATCATTCAGTATGTGTGAGTGTGTGTGTTCCTATACTAAATCTTCTTGTGGCAGTCCAACATAGGTGATCACTGTGGCCTGTACCATTTTGTCAATCATTGATCTGATACAGGGTAGAATGCATGTAGAGAACATGCAAAGCAATAAAAGAAAACTCCTATCAAGACAAGTCCTTTGATCATGAGGGTCTTCCAGCTGCCGCTCAGCAGCCAGGTCAGCCAGTCCTCTGTGTTCATGACATAGTCTTGTTGCTGTGCATTACTCAGTTGTCGTAACTTCTCCAGGGCGGTGGTCATGGTCAAGGAATGCACGTTATCTGGAATATAGGTGCAGCAAGTGATGTTGAATAAGACACAGAGGCCCCCTCTCTCAGCGAGAATCATGTCCAGGGCGACTCTGTGTTGCATGACCACTATTCTGATCGCGTCGATTTCCTCATTCTGAGCCTTGTTTATCCATGTTGAGCTGTTCAGGAAAAGTCCAAATCTGTAGTCAAGAGTCTCGATTCTCAGCATGTTTTTTCCATTCCCGATCCATGGGAAAAGTGAGTGCAGGACTTTCTGTCCGGTGGTCCACAACTTGAACTCCGCTGGCACATCACTGCCCCAGATTGGATCATGAGGTTGCACGTCATCAGTGCTCCTCTTGCGTCTTGGTTGGTCCTGATGGAATATTCTGAATGTGTGGTCTGACACTAAAATTGGGGCGCAGAGTCCGGTGCTGTTGGGTGGGATGGCGAAGTATGTCTTTGAGCCACATGCCCAAGCTGTACCCTGCACCCAATATGTGCCATTCAGGAAGCTTATCCGTGCCTTTCTGTCCTGCGGCATCCGGAAAGTCTGGGAGCAGTTTTGGTTCATCCCCAGCTTTCTGTTGCCGTATGCGAAGGTGAAACACATTGGATGTTGTATTCCTGGTTCCCTCCTGACGTTGAAAGATTTTCCCTTGTCATTGGTCGCATTCAGGTGTACCCAGTATCGGTCATCACAGCTGTAGTTCCAGTCTGAGATCTCTGGTGTACAGAAGAGTAGCTCATTAGGTTTATAGTTGATCAGTGTTCCATTACATCGTCGCAGGTCGATTTTTGTGACTTGTCTTTTTAACTCCAACTTGAAGGCGAAGATGTCTTCGGGGGAACATGTTCCACTGGTGGCCTTGTAGAATATACATAGGGCTTCGGAAAGGCTGGGTGATTTTCCATATAGGGTGGCTTGCATTGCTGTTGTTGGGAGGTGAGAATAGACGTAGCAGCCAGTGTGGTTGTCTTCTGTATGTACTCGGTTGTAGACGTACCGGTACCAGGCATTGTTCAGCCAGGGGTGGTTGTGCTCTTTATCCATATCCTTTAGGTGTAAGTTGTTATATGACCATTTTTATCTGCAGGTGGTGCTGTGGGTCCTCGTCTTTCCAGGTGAGTATCAGTAGGCTCTCTAGGAGCGCAATGCCAGTCATTATGAGGACAAGGTTCTTCATGATGACCAGGCACACCCGGGCTCCAGGTGAGTAGACCACTGGCGAGAAGACAAAAGGGCGGGATATACCCAAACAGCCCTTTCCTCCACCAGGGAACACCTAGGAGTCGGGGGAACCGGCGTCTATGCTTGTGTTGTCACTCACTTTTTTGCAGTGGCTTTGGTGGATCCAAGATGGTCTTTCTGCTATTTTGGGCCTTCCCACCTTGGTGAACTCCAATTTTTCCTCTGGAGCACTTTAATCAGGATCCAATCACCTGGTTGCAACCTGCAAGATACTGGAGAGATATTACTCGGCAGTTTATTGTTTAAGACAATCTCTTTATTCTCAAATAATTTAGTCATCCACTCTGCTAGAGTGGTTTCTCTTATAGACTTATTAATAGGCTCACTAGTGAGAGGAAGCGGAAATTGCCTCCCGTGAACAATTTCAAAGGGTGTGAGCTTTTGCGAACCCTGGGTTAGTCGCATCCACATCTTCACCAGGCCCAAACACTCAGGCCTTTGTCTGATTTTATCAGAGTAGGAATAAAATGGTTGCATAAACATTTTGCTACTGAGATTGCATCTGCTCTTTTTACTGGATAGATTTCTGGCCATTTTGAGAACACATCCACAATTACTAGAGCGTATTTTGATGCTTGACATTCGTTCAGTTTAATAAAATCCATGTGGATTGCGTGAAATGGGTGTGGTGGTGTTGGGAAAAAGCCTCTTTTAGGCCTGAGGTTTCCCTGTGCATTATGTTTCTGGCAAATCATGCATGTTCTGATAAACTCTTGTGCTGAAGCTTCAAAATTTTGAGTATAGAAGTGTTTGGGGAGGATACTCATCATTCCACCCCTTGACAAATGCTTTAAGCTATTTGTCACTAATGCTGCTGTCTTGTGTAGCAATTTTGTAGCCGTGCTCCACACTTTAACCATTTCTTTTGCTCCTCTATAGGAGCGGCTTCCTATTCATTTTGAAGTACATCAAGTGGTATTAGCTGTAAAGTTTCAGACATTAAAGTTCATATTGGTTGCCGTGCGGCCTTCTTTGCGGCTTGGCCTGCGAAGTTATTGCCTTCAGTAATTGCTGAATTATCTTTTTTGGTGTGCAACGCATATTGACTGTCAGTGTGAATATATATATCTTGATCTTTGCGCATCATGCACGTATGATAGCCGCTAATTCTGCACTCTGTGCTGAAAAAGAGGAAGCTAAAGGTTTCGCTTCTAAAACAGTAGGCTGCAGTGTACTAAAAATGTCTGGTCGGGGTTTCATTTTTTTCAGTTAGCTTCAGCATACAGCTGTGTTCGGCACCATCTACTTCCGCAGGAAGGAGAGTGCTTGTCACAGTCAGGCAAGGCTAAAACTGTGCTTGTTTGCAGGGCAAGTTTTAAGTCAATAAATGCTTTATCTGCCTCTGGTGTCCATTTTATGTCATCTTTCAGAACTAAGTGTTTGCCATAGATCAAGTTTAGCAAAGGTGGCCAGCAGTGCATATTCAGGTATCCAACATCTGCAAAAGTTGCAAAGACCTAAATAACTCATCATTTGTTGTTTGGCGACAGGCTTAGAAGCGTATTGTACAGCTACTTTTCTGCTGTCTAAACGCTGTCTGCCTTGACCTGTCAGTCTGTGGCCAAGGTACGTGACCTCTTTGCTCTAAGGTCATGTACTAGCCGATATTTCCCAGTGTTTGCTTCTTTTTTTTTTAACTGGGAAAATCAGAGTATTACATGTTGCTTCAGTTGTTTTTATTAAAAGGCCTATTGTTAAAATACTGCACGCTTTTTCTTCTCTATAGATGCAACATTACATTTTCACTTAAGGCATGTTTAAATAATTTCTTGTTTCTCAAAGAATTCACACATTTCACTCATCTTACATATTTCAACTTTGAAGTTAAAGTTTTCTTATTTCATCTCTCTCTATATATATATTTAAACTTTGAATTGCTCACAGTTTACAGCTCTAAAACTGGGCATTTGTAAATCATGTACGTGAATTTGCATATGTTGCTTTTGCAGTGTTTCAGACCCCTTAAGCAGTCAGTTTTCTTTCCCAAATTTGCTAACCTATGGGTTTCTTCCGACCGCTGCACGTGGAGAATTAATCCAGGTCTGTTTTGCTCCTGAAGAAACACAACTAAGACATTTTCATTATGATCCTGAGTACTTAAACTACCCGTTTCCCTCTCTCTGGTCAGAAATACCAACTCATGTTATGTTATGTGTATAAGTGTAAGCAGGTCTTCATTTCTTTTCCTATGCATGTTAATGTTCAGTGAGTGTAAGCTGCTTTCTTCATTGCCTCTGCATGTTATAATCAGGTGTAATTCATGCATCTTTTCACTGATTTTTTAATTCAAAACCATCTCACTTCTGATTCTTTCCAAAAATAATTTCACATGTAACACTTTGTGTATGTGTGTTTTCTATTCATTGATAGACAGCTCCCTGTGCTGTCCCCTATGCAGCTTCCGCTCGGAAACAAATAAATAAAAATGTTTAACTCGCTCATTAGCTTAGTAGTGTCCACATATTTAAATCAGCTTCTCAATCTTGTAGCTTTAGCTATTATCCACAGGGTTTGGCTTATTAATTATTATTATAAATGTGCTCTACATCTCAGTAATATTTATCTAGGATAAATGACAGGTTTTCAAACAGGTTAAGTGCCTCTATGCACCTAATTGGTTCAAATATTGCCTTTATTTTCTTCATCTCATATGTCATTATACTGAGTTTGAGCAAACCTTAAGCTTGATGCAGACTACTTCATAACAATTATCCATCTCACATCATACTGACTAGGATACTTCCTGTCATTAATATTATATTTTTATTAATATTATCATCTTTTTCTTTCTATATAATGACAACAGTATATTACAACATTTTATCAGTGTAAATTACTATACTACTACTGAGCCAATTTAATAGTTTAGGATCATCTTACTCAGCAAACAGATAATTTAGAATTCATCCAATCCGTACAAATTTGCTTTTTCTCTGAACAGGTTTGTGCCTACTTTTTAGACTGGTCTTCTGTTTGCCTCATCTCAGATCCAATCTTCAGTCACATTCATTCTCTCTGTTTCATGTTGAACCAAGTAATTTATTATTATTTTTATTTTTATATTTTATTTTGTATCCATCAAGGGCTCTGGGTGGGCTGCAGTCCCACCCATCATCCAGGCTGGAGACATTTACCTTTCCACACACTTTCCTTGGCTGAACAATGAGACAGCCTTAATCTACCTTATGCATCTCTCTTTTTTATAGAAAAGGTTTTCATGTGAATGATTTCCTTTTATTTATTTTATACAATCTGGGCATGATCGTCATGCAAACTATATTTCATTGTTCAGTTCTGTTTGTAAGGTTCCTCTTAAAATAGTTACTGCAGAGGGACTGCAAACCATTTAGTTTCGTTTTGTAGAAGGTTTGATTACAATGTATTTTATTGAGTTAAATATACAGTCAGACCCGTGAAGCTGTCACTGGCACGAAGGACGAGATAAGTTATCAACAACAGGCTTCTACTTTCAAGCTATTCTTGAAAGCGGTTGTCGATTTTACGTGATGACGCACAACTTTTTCCTCATTCAGCCAGTACATGAGCTATCAACGGTAAACAATTCAGTGCAGTAGTTCAGACACCTTAATGTGCTGTTAAATCAACTTACTCCACCAACAAAACAATGAAAACAGTTTATGCGCGCAATTTCTATCCTATGTTAGTTGACACTTTCCGTACACTTATTTACTTTCCAGTAAAGTTAGACTTCCAGCCTTTTTTAACTGCAAAACGAGTGTCTATTACACTACCAGTTTCGTCTTACAGGCGAGTCCCTCATTCAGACTACCAGCTTTTTTTTTTAACTGCGAAACGAGTGTCTATTACACTGCCAGTTTCGTCTTACAAGCGAGTCTTAAAACTGCCAGTCCCCGTAGGACGAGTTTTCTTGGAACAGTGTCACCCTAAACACCGATAATTTTACGCAAGGTGTGTCAAATGTGGAATAATCACCTGGCTTCGCTGTTGCCGGTCTGTCGGGCATCTCTTTTCAAGCCCCAGCGCCGTGGGCCTGTATGACGTCGGCCAGGACCCGAATTTTAGCGTCCCTGGACTTTCAACCCTTCCTGGAGGGCGCTCTGCAGAGTCTTCGACGCAGGCTTGTCACGGCGTCGGGACTTGAGGAAGGATACCACTGTGAAATGGAGCATAATATTATTATTAATACCAGTCCATTAACGGCTTCGAAGGACCAATTAAATGTCAGAGATTTACAGTTAACAAACAGTCAGGTGAATAAACAACAATGAGACACTTGTTTAGGTTAACGTGCTGCACGGGTGAAAAGCTCAGAGCAAATCACACCGAACTGCAGTATTCGTTTATTTTTATAGGTTACATCGTCAATATGCAAATATAATCACATTTCCTGTCACGCAGGTCCTGATGTCTGTCTGCATGCAAGCTGTGTGTGTGTGTGTGTCACAGAGTATGTGTGTTGCAGGTCAATTTCTAAGAATAATATAATGCAAGTCAACTTCTGCGGATATGTATTTCTGTGCTGGTCTCTTGTCAGTGTCACAGGGTCAGCTTCCTGTTTTAACAGAAAACTGTGTCTGGTGAAATATGTATAACATAACTTTTGAAGCATAAGCAAATAAAACAATAAAAACTCCCTGACAGGCATCTTTTATTTAGCATGGTTATACCATTGTGAATGTAGCTATATAAACATGCTCAAGAGTCTATCATATGTTTGACATGCAACTAAAAATTCGAAAATATGTTTTTAAATCATTAACTTTGCAAATTTAGAGGAATTGTTTTCGGACAACATGTGTGTCACATTTTAAACAGGGTTTGAATGATCAGCACTGACATACAGACATTTATGCGCTGGGTATAACAGACATGCTTAGCAAGCAGCTGTGTTGCAGTTGACTGGGATGAGCTGTTTGACATCCGTAGCATGTTTCCTGTAGAAAGGCGTTTAGCGCCAACATCACCAGGTGGTTGGTTGC